TCCCCCCCCCCCCTTTTTGCATTTCTTTACTTCATTATGTTAAATAGTAAAATACAATAAAATAATATAACAAAAATAAAATATAACAATATCATAAAAATAAAATACAGGCTCACATCACAAAATAAACAAGGAAAAAGATACATCACTAAAATACTTTCACATTCAAACACTAGATACACATGGCAAGAAAAACACACAGCTTTGCCCAAATTAAACCGCAGGTGCCTCTCAGCGCACACAGGGAGCCTCAGGTGTCCCTGTGCACACTGCTGTCATCTCCATGTGAAGGAAGACAAGATGGTGAGCTTTTTCCACCTTCTGCTCTCATTTGCACAGATGAGGAATGTGTGTGTGTGTGTGTGTGTGTGTGTGCAGCATGTGTAAAAATACTCAAAAGTGAAGAAAGCCTCTGATGTTTGAATCTGTGGTATCTCGCCATCTGTTTCTGTGATGCTGGGTGAGACAGACATTAATTCACCCTCCCTCTGATAATGAATCATTTGATACGGCTGGGAAAACTTTTTTTTTTTCCTGGCTAGCTGAATCGAGACTCTTGTGTTGACCTCATCTAGCTTCCATTCACTGCACTGCATCACATTATGGACATCTGACCTTGTTAATATCACTTATACTGGTACTGACCAGTATAAATAATACTAAATAATAATGACATGTAGTCCCAACCCTGACATCCAAACAAGAGACAGAGCAGGCCCAAAACATGCCCTATACAACAAGTACATGAACGCTTCTAGCTACACTACCATTCAAAAGTTTGAGGTCAGTAAGATTTTTTTTTTAAAGAAATTATTACTTTTATTCAGGAAGGTTGCTTTAAATGTATTAAAAGTGAAAGTAAAAATATATTTCAAATAACTGTTGTTTTTTAAACTTTATATTAATCAAAGAATCCTAAAAAATATGTATAACTGTCTGTTATATGTGCACAACTGCTTTCAACACTGATAATAATTTAGCGTTTGCCATTCCATGAATAAATTAAATTTTTAAATATATTAAAATAGAAAACTGTTATTTTAAATGGTAATCATATTTCACAATATTACAGTTTTTACTGTATTTTAATCAAATGAATGCAGCCTTTCTGAGCAAATGAGACAAACAATATACAGTAATTTAAAACCCTTAAGGTAAGGTCAAATTAGTGAAATTTTTGGCAAAAAGGTCAACAGTCCACTGTAACGTGTAGTGATGCATCGAGAACTGCTCACACAGCTCATTTTCAAACCAAGCAGCTTTCCAGTGGTTAAAAAGGTTCATTTGTATAACCAATCAGCATGCAGAAATCTTTCACTATCACAAGACAGTGTCCCATTGAAATGACTGGACTTCACTTGTGAAATGCACTGAACTATGGTAAATGTGACCACACATTCAGAGCTAACTAGAGGTTTTCTTAACTCATTATATGTTTGTTGCAACCAGCCATACAGATAACACAGAAAAACACTGTAGGCTCTGTTGGATTTGTCTCTTTATACATTGAACCACTCCAAAATGGTCTTAGTTTTAGATGAGTAACTTACACAAGCTGGTTAATATTTTTTTTTTTGCAAGTAAACCAACCTGACCAGTACTAGGTGACCAACCAAAGACAGCAAGAAAGTGCCCCCCCCCCCAAAAAAAAACTTATACCAATAACTAACATCACATATAGCAGGTCACTTAAAGTGTTTACCAGCTGATTAATTTAAGATAGTCTAGGCTGGTTTTATTATTCTTTTTTTACATTCTCATTTACCTTATAGTAAATGATAATTATCTTGAATATCACAATTATTTCCCCTAGAATGCAAAGAGATTAAAGAGCAAGTCTGCAATTAAAAGAGATTTCAATAAATCAAAATCTGCTATTCACATTTTATAGCTATATTGTATGGAAACAATACGTAAAAGTCTCATTGTGTGTATTTTTTATTTCTCCTTAGATATGAGGAAATAAAATGTCTTCAGCAGCAGTTTTTCTGCATTATTTTATCCAGATTGTTAACAAATGAGTTGAATGAGTTTGTAAATTATCAAATGCATAAGATCACGTTAACACACATTCACATTCAAACACACTCATTAACGATCCCACACACCGAAACAACAGCGTACACACACGTGTGGCACCTCAGAGAAGTGTGAATTTATGAATGGCAGTAGAACTCTTACGGTGACGGTGGGGATGGCGGTGACCAGCGAATACACCAGCACCGGAGGAGCTTTGCTGTCATCTTCAGGTCCTGGATGTGGCTTGGAGAAGGCTTTATCGAAGCAGAAGAATCCTTGAACGTGCACCGGGAACGTGTCCGTATACTCAAAGTAGTATGCCAGGAGAACCGTTCCAGCCATGATCACCAGCTGGAAATAGAACATGATTCCAGTTTAGAATAGAAAATCCGTTCTAATATGTGGATGGTGGCGTTCTGGAATAAAAAACGAGCTGCAGTCGGAATCTTCGGCTGAGTGAAGGAATAAACAGAAGAAGAAAAAAAAAGACAATTCTCCCCCGTGAGAGAAGTGACAGAAGATTTTGTGGCGTGAATGAGTGAAGGCAGCATAAAAGGATGCTGAGAGAATGGCTAGAATCTCTTCAGCTCTGCCTATCTATAGAAATAAAAAAGAGAGGCATGGAAGACACAAATAAAGAAAGAGAGGCATTTTACGGAAAAGAAAACAAGCAAATGAGAATGATCAAGGTAGAGAAGAAAAATAGGGGAGGAGGAAAAGAGATGGCAATGTAGTAGAGCGAGCGAGAGAGAGAGAGGAGGACTGGAGGGATGAGAGAGAGACAGAAACCCTGGGGGGAGAGAGAGGGAGAGGAAGGGGGTGCGTGTGCATCTGTGCTCTCAGCGGGAGAGGAAATGGGTATATCTCTACAAGTATAACATGCAGTTCTTTTAGATTTTTAGGCAGCAAAGATAAATAGCATGCCATTTATTACAAAAATTTATTGAATGGCATTTTACTTACAAATTGTAAACCGTTACTGATTCCAAATTACACGACAAAAATTGTAGTTACAATACGTTAATATGTTACATTACACATTTTAGGTAATATAATCAGATTACTTTTGATCTAACTTGTTTATCACATTGATTTAAATAGGATAATCTTGTACCATATTGATGTAAAAATAGAAAGAGTAAGAAAATATATTCCATTCATTGTAATTAACAACATGAGGTGCATTAAACATTAAATAACCTTACATCAAGGTTTCCCAAACTAGGGTTCGTAAAGGAACTGAGTTTAATGAGTTTAATGAAAAGCTAATAATTCATGAAATCATAAAAATGTAAAAAATAAATAAATCATTTAAAAATAAAACACTTACTAACAACATGAAATCATTTATTTGTTTACCTGCATGTCATGTGACCATTAACCAACGTCAGAGAACCGCGAGCATGCAAATGTGATTTAATTATTAAATATTTATTTTAAAATCTCAGGGGTACTTCAAGTAAATATATTAGGTGAAAGTTCAGGAATGCCTGCATTACATGTAAATAAGAAATAACATGAATTTGTGCATTTTAATGTGTTTGAAAGACAAAAGCCTTCCAAAGACATAGTAATAAATTATTAAATAACCTTTAATTAATGTGTTCAGTAGTTGAAAATATTTATTTTTCTCTCTCAGGGGTACTTCAAGTAAATATATTAGGTGAAAGTTCAGGAATGCCTGCATTACATGTAAATAAGAAATAACATGAATTTGTGCATTTTAATGTGTTTGAAAGACAAAAGCCTTCCAAAGACATAGTAATAAATTATTAAATAACCTTTAATTAATGTGTTCAGTAGTTGATGCAATGTTGAAACACATCTTAAACCTGAACTAATTTTTGTAAATCCAGTGGTCAAATGCTATGTGGCCACCTGACTAGTGACTGATCTCTGTGTGAATGTCCACAAACCTGACAGACTTTCTGAATGTATATAAGCGGTAGGATATTTTAGAAAGGAAAATTTAAAAGATGAAGAGGAGTTAGGGAAAATAAATAAATTATGAATAATTTATTGCTATTGTGTGAATAATATGTAATCATGTAATCCATAAAAAAATAACTGTAGTCTGATTACGAGTATTTTAAAATGTAATTTAATCTAATTACAAGTACTTAATTTTTGAAATCTGATTACATAATCCAGATTACATGTAATCAGTTACTACCCAGCTCTGCAAATAGGGCCTGAAGCTGAAATGATATGCTTTTTTTCCAGAATCTTCAGAAAATGCTGACTGACAACCCTAAACATTAAATTAGCTAAAGAATGTTTTTGTTTATTTTAGTTAGCAATTTGTATTTTCCAACAATAAACATAACATAAATGTTTTTAAAATGCTATGGTAGAATGGGAAACAGGGTTCCATATTTAGTCTAAACTGTGGCTCAAGTATAGGGTCTGCTAGTTTGGAACCAACAGCTGGATTAGATTTGACAAACTCATTTTTCCCATAAATTTGAGTTTTTTTCCCCTAAATTGATTCTAATCTAATAGTTCTTTCTACAAAAACAAAATGTTTTGTGCCTCTACTGGACAAGTGTCTTGAGACCAGAACTCATTATTAAAGCCAAAGTTCTCTCCATTTTTAACAATTTGAAATTTAACCAAATATACAATAGACATATTTTGTCATTCATTTGCTAAACACTTCAACCACTTCATAAAATGCTTACCCAATATCCGATGTTTGAAAATGCTCAGAATTGCTAAATCTGAACAATTTGACTTAGTACTGAGACTGAACTTAAACACAAGAAAACACTGAATTTGTCTTTAATGCTGTACTTTCTGTTCAACCCCCTTGTGTTGTGATATTTATTCCCTTTTAAAAATAACGTTTATTGCTTCTAACATCATATTATGATTTTTGACTACATTTTCTAACATTGGTAAGTTAGTCTTTATCAGTATTTTGTTTACACATATCAGCTTTGTGAAGCTCAATAGTTCAGTGTTGTGGAAATCATCACAGTGATCAAATTTGACAAAGTATTGGTACAAAGAAAGAATATTGACTGTGAATAATGGGGTGTCCTGCGAATAAATGTACTTACTAAACCTGTGTCTACATGTCTACAAATATACATGTCATCTCATCTCAGTCTTGTTGGGATCATTTGGTGATTATTGCCAAATTCTATCATCCATCAGTGCTTGAGTTCCTGATAAACAATTCTGAAAATCCAAAAAGCTCTTGTATAAACTGTTGCCTACTTATTACTTCATTCTTGTTCTACTCCAGTAAGATCTTTTCTGCTGACTGCTTCTGTCTCCTCCTGCTGTGCATGCTTTCATGTTATTTCTAGCTCCTATCCCACAAGAACATGAACATGAGTTTTCCGCTCTCACTCATCTAAAAGCTATCAACAGAGTTCTGCACCCAGCTTTAGTCTGCTTTGTAAGCCCTCACAGTGCTTCCTAACCTTTTTTGTCATTGGTAACTCAACAGCCACATCAATAGCCTTTCATCAACACCAAACTAGAAACAGATTTTACTGATATTATACTGGATATCATTCAACAGTATGATTTACTTCATTAAAGTGTCAATTATTACAATGATTTACAGTGGGTGAAAAAGACTAATTTAGTACCTATTTCCTCCTTGTAATGAGACACACAAGCTTGTTTGTCACGAGCCAACTCACAATCCTGGCCAACCATGGAGAATCGTTCTTGAGAAAAGCCTAACAATGAATTTATTTACAAATGAAATTCATATTTTTGTAATTCAAATCCTTCCTGGTAAGGAAATCACCACCTCAAAACAAATCCTGATGGCTGATTTTCATGTACCAGTTTATCTGAAGATTCTGTTGCTGGCTAATATAAGATAAAACCCAATTTGAATCCTGCCACCAGTGTTGCCAAGTCTGCGGTTTTTCCGCGGAATTGGGCTACTTTAACACTGTTGCCGCGGGTTGTTTTTGATGTCCGCGGGTTTAAGCGACCCCAATAATGTGATATTTAGCCCCTAAAAGGCGAATTTTACCAGGAGAACCCCACCAAAAACATGTATTTTACCCCACCGGAATGCGATTTTTACCGGGGATCCCCCTCGAAACGCGACTGGGTTAGTTTTGGGCTAGTTTTGAGTAGCAATTGGGCGGATTTTGTTGTGAAAACCTGGCAACCCTGCCTGCCACATTCATACAATCCTGTGTCACAGGGGTAAAAATTATGCTTTAGTAGGCAAAGCAGGTTACAGCTACCAATTTTAAGGGCTATATCTAACAGTTAATCAAACGAAAGAATTCAATCTTGACACAAGGCTTGGAATAATAATTCACTCATGCCTCATATCCTGTGTTAAATACAGTATTCTAAATACAAACAGTCTAATACAGTTTTAGTGTGGAATTAACAATCTGCTGCAAGATAATAATCCTCAATTAACCTAACCCAGATAAATCCTCTCTAAACTGGTTTGGAACAAATCTGGAATACAGAGATTTAAACGGATAAAAACCTTTACAATAATCCAAAAACTTAAACTACAAATCTTAATATATATTATATATATTTATAGTAAGATTGTCTTCATTTTTATTCACAAAGATGGATTAAACTGATCAAATGTGGCAGTCAAAACATTTACATTGTCACAAAAATTCAAATAAATGCTGTTCTTTCGAGCTTTCTATTCATCAAAGAGTCATGAAAAGAAAATGTATCATAGTTTCCACAAAGATATTTAGCAGCATAACTGCTTTCAACACAAATCAGCATATTTAAATGATTTCTGAAAAATCAGGTGACACTAAAGACTGAAGTAATGATGCTAAAAATTCAGCTTTGTTAATCACAGGAATAAATTACATTTTAAAATGAATTAGAAAACTGTTATTTTAAATTATAATAACATTTAATTGAATTAATGTTTTGCTGTATTTTTGATCAAATAAACACAGCCTTGGTGAGCATAAGAGAATCCTAAACTCTGATGTGTGTTATATTATGTTATATAATGTCCCATGTGCACTATAATTACTGTTTTAAAACTCAAAATAGTTTTATGCAAAATTATCACCAGGACATGTAAGAGAAATAAAATTTTATTGCCTCATGTGTACACGTTTGAAAGGCAATGAAAGCAGATGTGACTTTGTATACTGTGTATTCATTCAACAACAATGCCTGATATTAAAGACAATAGCCTGCATGTTTAACTATAATGTGAATGTCTGTTATATAATGTATTCTGTTTAGACTAATGCTTGAGGTTCTTCATCAAGATCAATGATTGTGGGGGACAAAATGCATTGCACAAAGACCTGACAGGAGTGACAGAATTGAGTTCATTAACTCATTTTCAATGGATGTGCTGATTGTGAGCAGAAGGC